ACGAAGTAAAGATGTTGCTTTGTGAAAGTTAAAGAACATAATACACTCATCAAAGAAATCAACAAAGGTAGATCAAATGAAGAGATAGAAGTTGGTGACAATTTACCCACTCTGGTTTCAGACATAACAGTTGCACCAATTGATGAGATTGAAACTTCTTCACTAAAATATAAGAGACACAAAAAAACAATTGAGGAACTTGAAATTCTTCAAGAAGTGTTTATCATCCTACAGACTTACCAAAGGAATTAGCAAAAAGATTATTTGAAAATCTATTTAAAATAAATAATTCATGGTCATCTACTAAAGTTAGGGGATATTGGTAAAAAGAAAATAAAAATAAAATTACATTGAATTATTGCTTTTAATTACTTCTTCAATGTATTCTATCTAAATTAGATAATTCAATAAAATTAGTATAATGATCTAATTAAAAAAAAAATTAATACTAATATAAAATAGTCATAAATAACTTATAAAATTGTTTTTTGTCTTTAATTTCTTCCACCTCCAAGAAAACCAAACGAACCATATATTTTCTGGGAGTTCTCAATGACTCTATCTTGTGATGCTAAAATGATCTTAATAGAATTGTTTTTCATAAATAATTAGGTCTTTAAAGTTAAAAAATATGAGGCTCTTTGGGAAGCTATTGCATTATAACAAAACAAACTATTGACAAGTAAAAAATTGAGTTTAAACAAACAAGAGCACAAGATTCTATTTATTTAGAAGCATAAAAATTGTTTATTTATAATCTTGTAGTCAATTCTTCCTTCAAAGTCAGTTGTACGGAAAACGTGCTATATAGTAAAATCAGTAAACGTGAAATCTTGTCTGACTGTTTATTATTTTTATCAGATGGCACATGAAAGAGTTTTAAAGATGATGTAACTTCTTCATCTTTCAGCATCTTTTTTCTTTTAAAAACGAGGACACAGCTTTCTTCTCTGATATCAATAAATTGAAGACCTTGATCTCAAATGACACCCTTGTTATTATTATTATGGTATTAGAGAAGGGGGTATTAAATTAAAATATGATTGTCGTATCATCAGTAATTTTGGCGAGTTCTGCTTGTATAACACTAAACCACTTTAAATTAAGGCTGATAACCAAAGTCCTAAATTTTTGGTGGTTGGAGAGGATAGAAAGGCGCTGGCATCATTTCTCTTGATGGATGACTGGGTATAGTCCAAATGGTTGGTAGCATTATAGAACGGGGGAAATAAGACATAAATAGATTATACTGGTTATTATTAAAATAACCGTAGAAAAAGATATAGGCTCTGTTAGTAATCTTGTGGATGGATGAATGTCGTCGAGAATTTATAAAATAGTCATCATGTTGGTTTGCTTTCTGAGGCAAGTGTTGGCTCGGTCACATTCCCGTTTTCACCAATATTTGCATCATGAATCCCGCGAGTATCCTTGATGCATCAGACAAAACCTGAGTCCCTTAAATGTGTATTTTACAATTCCATAGTTGATAGAGATGTAAATGGAGCCCGTATGTAATTAGCATTACATATGGGGCGGACCAAAATAATTTCAGGGATCAAAATTAGTCAAATTCTTTAATATTCATCGTCGACATAGTGTAATTACCTCCATATAATGTAGGTAAAGTAATCGATTCAAAGACACAACTTCACGTTAAGCTTAAAATCTTATTTTCGATTTCTTCAATCTGGCTGATATTTGGGAGTTTTCTTTTCTTAAATGTCAAATAATTTCTTTTTTTGGAGTTGTTTTCATAGTAATATCATTCCCTTTTCTAGTTTCTTCTCTCTTTGTCTTTTTGTCCATTATCATGCTCTTTTATTTAAATACTATTAATAACTATATATAATAATTAAAAAGTTGGCAACCGAGATATTGTATTATTTTTTGTAACAAATCGCATATATATGTAAATTTTTTAAAAAAAAATTTTTTAATGAATGCATTTTTTTGGTTATTAATCCATTTGTAAATAAGTCTTGTACTAATATTTTTGTCGTTCAAGCAAGTAAAATCTCGGTTAGTATAGTGGTTAGTATCCCCGCCTGTCATGAATTTCAGCACGCGGGAGACCGGGGTTCAATTCCCCGACCGAGAGCAAATAAATAATTTTTTAATTATATTTCTTTTCGTTAGATTTAAATAATATAAAGAAGCTTATATTTAAAACAAGTATTATTTTTAATTCTACATTCCTAATCCAATTAACAATCAAGTGTTGTGTTGTTGAGTTTTCTCTCTCTGTAATTGTTCCAGTAGCAATAATAATAATAAATAAATAAAACTTACATTATCTTTGTTTGAACGTATTTATATAATTTTACAAACAGTTGGAACTGATTAAAAAAAAGATAATTTAAGGACAAGATAATAATAATAATAATAATAATAATAATATGGAAACAGTATTTTACTTTGTCTAAACATGGCTTCTTATGATAATGATGAGAGAGAAAGACATGATTCTGATGATAATTTTGAAAAAAAATCCTAAAAAAATAAAAAAGAAAACCATGTCACAAAATATTTGATGATGATGTCAACCGATCTTTTGGGATTTCCTGCATCAGAAAAAAAAGTTTCAGCTAAAGTAAAAAACAAGTTATTTAAATAATAATAAATTTTGAAAACATACTTTTCCCTCAGCATCTGGTGGTGATAAATTACCATGTTCTATTATCAAGAAAAATGACGAATTCTAAACTTGGATTTAAGCTCGCCAGGAAGATTTCTATTTATAAAATAAAAAACATTTAATCTTGTTCCAGTCCTCCCTTATTAGTTAGTTTCATAATAAAGTCAATATTAATTTTTGTTGTATGAATTGAATAATTCAACAAGAATGAATAAAATGAAGATTCCAAAATAATTTAGATAATCCCAAATGAACAAAACAAATAAAATAAGTAAAACAAGCAAACAAATAAAAACGAACAAAAGAACGTACGAATAATAATAATAAGGAGGGAGGAATTGTATCCAATCAAATGTTTGTTCAACATTTTTGGTTAAATGGCATTTGGATTAATTGTACATATATGGTGATTTTCTAAATTATCGTGAGGTAAATAAACCTGATACTTCTAATTAACCACGGGGAAATTATTGTCGGTGGTTACCAATGATATCAACAAATAAAATTGCTGACTATGACGTTAATGAACAATAAAGTCATACAGAAATTGCCATCAAATGAAGCGAATGCACAGTAAAATTTTATTCATTTGCTCATGGCTCAAATGGTTCAGCAAACATAAATGGTCGATAGCCACGACTATACTAAAAGGGCTATCGACACAAAAGGAGTATCTATTTGGATTTCAGCATTAGGTAATGCAGTTAGTTATAAATTACTTGTGGTTGTCGCTTAATAACAGAGCATCATTCGTCATCTTGTGGTTTTCCCATGAAATTGTGATCATCGAAGTTTAGTTTGCAACACATTTCATCAACGGGTCAACAGTAGGAGTTGGTATTTATTTGTAGTTATAATGGTAATTAATATCCATAATTCAATAAAATGTTCATTCATTCACATTTTTGTAAACAATAAATGACAAAATTTAGTATTTTATTCTCTTGATATTGTTGACATTGTTGAAACCAATATCTCAACACGTTGACCGTAATAATAATAATAATAATATGTGACAATTACAACATCCGTGTCAATATTAATATTAACTGTTAATATACATTCGTGTGACAACTTTAAAATATAATATAAATATATCCCGTTTATGTTTAATCTTATTTATCTTATTTACAAAATTTTTAAATTTTTTTTTTCCTTTAAACAAGTAACCTTTTTTGAAACATTTTTATAAAATAGAAATAGACATACTCATTTTAAAACATAATATTAAATGAAAATGCAAACTACTAAATGTGTGGTTATAGGAGATGGGTAAGTAAATTAAATTTTATTAAGTACCTTATTCAAAATCCAAGTTCAAATTCGCTATCCAATCTATATTAACATTCATTTGATCTAATAACTATTTGAATATTATTATTATTTATTTTTTAAAGTTCTGTCGGAAAAACTTGTATGTTAGTTAGCTACACTACAAATGCTTTCCCAGGAGAATATATACCAACGGTGTAAGTTTATAAATAGTTGGTTGATTTTTTTAAATTATATATAATATATATATATATATATACATTGCTTACTTGCTTGTACATACACATAGGTTTGATAATTTTACAGCCAATGTAATGGTGGATGGAAAACCAGTTAGTATGGCTCTTTGGGATACAGCAGGGCAAGAAGATTATGACAGATTAAGACCACTTTCATACCCACAAACGGATGTTTTCCTGACCTGTTTCTCAACAGTTAGTCAATCATCTTTCGAAAATATAAGGAACAAGGTAACAACAAAAAACAAAGATTATTTTTTGATCAAACAAATTATAAATTCTGAGCAATCTTGTACATATTTATAATAGTGGATTCCAGAGATTACTCATCACTCTCCAAATATTCCATTTATACTAGTGGGCACTAAAATTGACCTCCGTGATGATAAAGCCACGTTATTAAAACTACGTGAAAAAAACCAGTCACCAATTTCTTTTGTAGAAGGACTTCAAATGGCAAAGGATATTGGTGCGGTAAAATATGTAGAATGTTCGGCGTTAACACAAAATGGATTGAAAGCAGTGTTTGATGAAGCAATAAGAGCGGTTCTTGCCCCTATATTGATTAAAAAACATAAACGTAAATGTATAATATTATGATTTTAATTATTGTACAACGCAGTCAATGTATTATACCTAATCAATTAATATTAATAATAAATTTGTGCATGATTTCTGAAATGTTGTCTAAATCGAATGATCTTTATTAATATTAATTAACAATATTTCCGAATTTGTATTTCTATGCAGATAAAAAACTGCATACCTCTATTTAAGCAATTCTTTTTTGTAAAATTAAAAAAATTTTCAATTCATTTTCTAAATTTTCTTTAATTATATAATAAAAGAAACTTTTTTAAAAAAAAATCAAGAATAAATATAAATAAATAAATAAATATAATGAAAAATATAAAATGTGTTGTTGTCGGTGACGGGTAAATTATTATTTAATAATATCTTTATTTTTTGTACAATTAATAAAAAAGGCGTTTTTTTTTAAAAAATAAAAAATATAGTGCTGTTGGTAAAACTTGTTTGTTGATTAGCTACGCAACAAATGCATTTCCAGGAGAATATATTCCAACGGTGTAAGTAGGAAAGAATTTATCTAAGCTATATATGTAAATAAATGAACAAAATGATAAACTCATAAAGTTGATTTTTGTTTTTAAATAGATTTGATAATTATTCAGCCAATATAGCAGTTGATGGAAATCCAATCAGCATGGCACTTTGGGATACAGCTGGTCAAGAAGATTACGATAGATTAAGACCACTTTCATATCCACAAACTGATGTTTTCCTGATTTGTTTCTCAACAGTTAGTCAAGCATCTTTTGAAAATGTTAGAACAAAGGTAATATATATTATTTATTCGCTTGATTGCCTTCTTTACCTCCCTATTGACTTCTTTTGAATAATTTCAAGTGGTACCCGGAAATATCTCATCATTGTCCTGGAGTATCAATAATTTTAGTTGGCACGAAACTTGATTTACGCGATGACAGAGATACCCTGTTGAAGTTAAGGCAAAAAAATCAAGCACCATTAACTTATCCACAGGGATTGCAATTGGCAAAAGATATAAATGCAGTAAGGTACATGGAATGTAGTGCTTTAACTCAAAAGGGCCTAAAAAGTATTTTTGATGAAGCAGTACAAGCAGTCTTAAGACCTATACCCGTTAAAAAGAAAAAATCAAAATGCATTATTACTTAAAACACAAAAAATCCTTTTTTTTTATTTTTTCAATTTTTTTTTGTATTTGTTTATTTATAGATAAAAAACTTTTTTAATTCGAATTTTGAAGGTGTGTATTTCATCCAGATGTCATCCGTGTTCATATAATCACAATTACAATCTTAATCTTTTAAGAGAGCATGGTGATACACAGTTTCATGAAAACAATAATATTTTCCCCAAAGAAATCAATCAATGATCATGTAAATAACCAATAAAATTTGCTAAAACCATCAATCAAAATGTCTTGTTAATAATAATAAAATAATTTTTCAAGGATTATCATTATGCGGACAAGATCAAAGTAAAATTAATAATAACTGTGGTAGAAAATAAAGATATTTATTGATTCTGAATTTTTGATTCTATCGTCAAAGTTTCAATGTCAATAATATAAGGGTTGAAACATTATCAAGGCTTTTTTTAAAAAGTTTTCCAGAAGAAAAAGGCTTTCATAAATGTTGTTATTATAATTATGCAAATGAGATTATTTAAAACAAAGTGAAAGAACTATCATGTTTACATTCTATTATTTATCATAGAATATTAATACCTTGTGTTAATATTAATTTAATTTTAGAAAGGTATTTATTCATGAGTCAATATATATATAATCAAAAAATTATTAATTGGATTTATTTGAATCTAAAAATATCAACTCAAAACGTCAATGGTTTTTTCCACTGAAATATGTTATATATCAACAATACAAATACGAGTTGTTTGGGTAATAGTAAATTTCATTATAATCGTTTAATTTTAATAAAATAAAATAGTATACAATTCTATTTAGAATCCATTTTTGCACAAAGCAGTTGTTGAAATATCATACATGTGGTCAAAATTATTGAATTGAGTCATGGCGCAATTAAAAATTGTCATTACCATAATTTTATGCAACCAATTCATGATGTAATTCGTGATACAAGACGCAATTCGTGAATTGACTCAATACACAATTTGTAATTCGTGACGCGATTCTCCAATCCAATCCCATTTTACGTTTTTCATTAATAAATGGACGGATTCCTTGATGGACAATAATAATTTACTTAAAAGAACCACAACAAATCATAATGAATGGACAAATTACAATATGTTTTAATATTAGCATTTATCTAATGCATAAAAACTATAATATCCATTTAGACTATTCTAACTGGTTGAAGGTTTCTATGTATTCATGGTACCCTTGCATTACTTGGAATATTATACTAAATAAAATTATTTGATCTTTAGTGTTTTGAATAATATGTTTACTCAAAACCACCTCAGCTCCCGCCCACCGCATTTACTACTGCGCTTCGATACTATTTTTTAAGATTTGAATGAATAAATTGGTCAATATCAACCTTAACAATAACTCCCATAATTCTATTTGATATTCTTCATGCTTGTTTTCCATGACGTTGCTGTATCTTTCTTTGAATAAAGTTGTCTGGTTGTCTTTCTCGTTCATATAAATGTTTATGTTTTTAAGGCTTGAGATTACCAATGACATTATATGTTGTTGTTATTGAAATAAACAATACAACTAATTATTAATAATATTTTTACGTGATTTTTTTTGTGAACTATATTAATATTGTGTGATATACTGGTCTCTTTCATCACAATCAACTAATCACATGTTGATAAATTCTGTGGTAAATCTTTACTAAGTTACGATCGGCACAAATGCGAAAAGAAAAAAATTTGTGTGGTGTGTATTTTGTAATTATATGGTGTTCAAGATTAGATTCTGTATTTAGGGTGAGACTTTACATTTTCTACAAAACGCAGAAAATCATTGTTCCTATAATGATAATGGTGGTATAATAATAGCTAATCAATCATCCTTCAATTATTTATTATTATTACATTTAAACCCATTATAATTACTATTACTAATTACTACCACTATTACTTTATCCGTACCGGATCATACCTTGGGTTAACAACAACATGTAAAGCTCATACATTATATTATTAATTCGCTATTTCATTATCATCATTATTGTTTTATTTACCAATAGGAAATGATAAGGAAAAGAAAACGCGTTATATAAAATTTTAAATCGAATTATTTGTTATGTGACGTTGCGGGAGTTTTTGTTATTTGTAGATCAATCATCAGAAGTACCAACAACAACTTTCTTTCCCAAAAAAAATTAAAAAATTAAAATCAACTTTTATTGGATATTTTATATATAGATAGATATAACTTTTTTAAATATACAATATGCGCTTAGAAGGTTCTTCAAGCTCGCGAAGATATTGTAAAACTGAAAAAGACGAAGATGAAGAACTTTTAAAGGATGAAACTGATGAATCAAATAAAATCATTTCTTTCGTTGAGTCTCCAAGTTGTAAGTATATATTATTGTGAAATAAATAAAACACGTCTCCTCCTATTTGTTAAACTCTATCTTTATTAAATTATTATTTTTTTTTTTTGTTGTTGTTGTTGTTGCAGACATAAAAAATGGTGTAATGCGTGATTATCAAATCCAAGGGCTTAATTGGTTGATTTCACTTTATGAAAATCAATTAAATGGCATTTTGGCGGATGAAATGGTAAATATTTGAAAATTAAAATTCTATTTACATGCATGTATAAATGCTTATGTGTTTGCTTATTTTTAATAGGGTCTTGGAAAAACTTTACAGACGATATCATTTTTAGGTTATTTGAAATATTTTCGTGATGTATCTGGCCCACATTTAATAATTGCTCCAAAATCCACTTTAAACAACTGGCAAAAAGAATTCAATGCCTGGATACCTGATTTCAATGTTCTTGTCTTCCATGGAAATAAAGATGAAAGAGTGAGTGATCTTTGATTTTAGTTTTTTTTAGGAGGGAAAAAAATAATAATAATTGATAATTTTTGATTGATTAATTAATCTCCTTTTCGTTGATAAGGCAAAAATAAAAGCAGAAAAATTAGTCCCGCTAGATTTTCAAGTGTGCATAACATCTTATGAAATGTGTTTGATTGAGAAATCAGCTCTTAAAAAATTTGAATTCAAGTACATAGTGATTGATGAAGCCCAACGTATTAAAAATGAAAATTCATTGCTCTCCAAAATAGTTAGAATATTCCAATCAAAAAATCGTCTGTTGATAACAGGAACTCCTTTACAAAATAATCTTCACGAGTTGTGGTCTCTCTTAAATTTTCTTTTACCTGATTTATTCAATTCCTCAGAAGATTTTGATTCTTGGTTTGAATCTCAAGATGGAGATCAAGATAAAGTTGTTCAACAACTACACAAGGTATTTTCTTATTATATATTTTGTATTTATATATTCTTTCAATTGCACACATAAATAAATATATCCAAATATGTTCTATTAGATTTTACGACCTTTCTTACTACGTAGAATAAAATCAGATGTTGAGAAGTCCTTACTTCCAAAAAAAGAAATAAATATATATGTGGGTATGTCAACAATGCAAAAAAAATTGTATCAATGCATCTTGGAAAAAGACATCGCTGCTGTTAATGGTATGTGTGTGGGTGTGTGTATAATCTGATTATTTCGGATTTAAAAAACAACTTTTAATTATAAATTTTTCCATGTTATAAAAAAGGTGCATTGGGTAAAGGTGAAAGCAAAACACGTTTGTTGAACATTGTGATGCAACTTAGGAAATGTTGTAATCACCCATATTTATTTGATGGAGCTGTATGCATCATGATAATAATGATTTTTATTTTAACATCATTTTCATATAATTATTTATGTACTAAATAATAAATTCACAAAAAAAAAGGAACCTGGACCTCCATATACAAATGATATACATATCGTTGAGAATTCAGGAAAATTGGCTGTATTGGATAAGCTTCTCAAACGATTAAAGGCTCAAGGTTCTCATGTACTATTATTTAGTCAAATGAGTCGTGTTCTTGATATACTAGAAGATTATTGTATATTTAGAAATTATGGTGATAATTTTTATTATTATTTCTAATATTGATAATAATATTGTTATTAGCTTGGTAGGAAACAATTAGATCTAACTGTATGTTATGATTCAATTTATGAACAATTATTAGAATATTGTCGAATTGATGGTCAAACTCAAACGGAGGATCGAATAGATTCGATTGATGAATTCAATGCTCCTGGAAGCGATAAATTTATTTTCCTTTTAACAACACGTGCTGGTGGTCTTGGAATCAATCTTACAGCGGCTGATATCGTAATAATATTTGATAGTGATTGGTAATGAATTTGCTATTTAAAAATATTTTTTATTTTTTCCTCGCATAACTAATCATTTTAGTTACTATATATGCACATATATACATAGGAATCCACAAGTTGATTTACAAGCACAAGATCGTGCTCATCGTATTGGTCAAACAAAACAAGTTTATGTGTTTCGTTTTGTAACTGATGTAAGTTATATAGGATAAATGGAAGGAAATTGATGGGTTCATTTTTTTTAAAAAAAAAATTTTTTTACTTTAGAATTCAATCGAAGAAAAAGTTCTTGAAAGAGCAGCACAAAAACTAAGATTAGATCAACTTGTTATTCAACAAGGACGAGCAAATCACGCACAAAAAAGTATGTATATATGATCATTTTCCATCAAAAGTTACGCCAACTTATTCATTCGTCGTTTTATCTAATTTATATGTATATATTTATTTAGATGCTACCAAGGAAGAACTTTTATCAATGATCCAACATGGTGCCGAGAAAATTTTTAGTTCGGCTGATAGCACTGTCGGTGACGATGACATTGATATTATTTTGCGTAAAGGTGAAGAAAAAACAGCTGAACTTAATCAGAAATTTCAAAATCTTGGATTAGATGATTTGCAAAAGTTTACATCTGATTCAGGTTCATCTTATGAATGGCAAGGAGAGAATTGGGCAAATAAGGTTTGTGTTATTTTATCATAATTTTTGCGATTTTGAAGTTAAAAATCATTTAATTTTTCATTAATTTTAACAGCGTAAAGGAGAAACTTCACGAAGTTTCAATTGGATAGAACCACCAAAACGCGAACGTAAAGCCAATTATGCAATAGATTCATATTATAAAGAAGCTTTAAGGGTAAATTCAAAACCTGCTCAACCAAAGGTTCCAAAAGTGTCAAGACAAATTACTTTGTAGGTCTTAAACACCACCACATCTATGAGTATACATATATATAATGCGGTTGATTAATTAATCAAGTTTTTTGTATTATCAATTAATAAGTTTAGAGTTTCAATTTTATCCTCCACATTTAATTGAATTATTGAAAAAAGAGAATTATCATCAACATGTATGTGATGTTTAAAGTTTAAAAGTCAAATGTGTTTTTATATTAAATATTATTATTTTTTATTAATAACTATTTTAACATCATTTATTAATATGTTTTAGAAATTAGTAAGTTTCAAGATCCCATTAACAGAACCTTCATCTCAAAATGATAATCCTGAATTAAGGGAAAAAGAACGTCTAGAAGAACAGAATAAAATTGATAATGGTGTGTATGTTTTTTTTATGACATTCTTTATATTTATAATTCGCATCAAGGACTATAATATTTATATTTCACGTATTCCGTGCGCATGGATAGCTGAACCTTTAACTGAAATGGAAGAGGCTGAAAAAAAATCATTAATGAAAATAGTGAGAACACAATATTTAAATCTTATATATATATTGTTACTTTATTCAATATTATTCAATATTATTCAATACTATATATATATATATATATTGTAATAAGTCATTTGAAGGTTGGAATAAACGTGATTTCAATCTCTTTATATCTGCTTCAGCTAAATATGGGAGGTGAGAATTTGTTTCAAAGATTATATATATAGCATTATGAATTAATGATTATAACAGTGATTATGGACTAATGATTAATGGTTTAAATATGATAGAACTGCTGTTGAAGAGATAGCTAAAGAGGTGGAAAAATCTTTAACTGATGTTGAGAAATATGCTAAAGTGTTTTGGGAGCGATATAAAGAATTACCTAGTCTGTTTAACTTCCTTTTATTACTATTTATTCTACGTACATACATATTTATTAGCATTTATTAATATACATTTTTTCACGACCCTTTCTAAAAATAAAATAAACAGACTATGAAGAATTGATTGCAAAGATTGAAAGAGGTGAACAAAAAATACAACAAACTCAAGAGATACAAGGACTGATCAAATCAAAAGTAGCGCAATATAAATACCCTGGTTACGATATACAATCATCAAGTCAAAACAAAGGCAAGTCATTATTCACTGATGAAGAAGATCAATATTTGTTAATAACACTAGCAAAACATGAATATGGAACTGAAGATGTTTATGAGAAGATACGAAATGAAATTGAGAATGATGAATCTTTTCGATTTAATTGGTTTATTAAATCAAGAACTGCTAGTGAATTAAATAGACGCTGTACCGCACTTATAAACATGATACAGAAAGAACAAATTGATGGTGATGGCAGTAGTGGTAATGAAGGGAGAAATAAAAATGATTTAAAAGTAAGCATCATAATCATAATTTACTTGATTTCTTTTGTACTATATATGAATTTAAAATTACCAACTAAAAAAAATTGACATTATTTGTAGCGAAAAAATGATTCACCACAAACCAATGGAAACATAAATAATAAGCGTAGTAGACGTTCATGATTTTTTCACTATATATATATATATATATATATTAATAATATAATATAACTTTCTTTTACACGACTAATAATGAAGTAAAATAAAATCACCGTCAACAAAACATGTCTATATTAACGTGTACTTGAAATAATTGTAATACAGATATTGCGTAAAAATTTAATGACGAGATCAATAACCACCATCATTATTTTTTTAAGGATCCTCTTCGAGTAATTTCATGAACTCGGCCCCGGATCTGGATCATCAGAATTTATGTTACCGTTATCTTAATTTTCAATTTTCATAATTGATATAATCATAAGTTATTTTTCCAATATTGAATGTACTTGCCAATAAACAACCTTACCAATTATTAAATCATTACTATTGCTATTATGATAATCGAAATTGTCAATATAATTGGTGTCCTCGTTCGTATTATCTTTAATGAAACTTTCTATTTCCATCAGAACTAGATCGATCTTATCTATGCTTTCTTTTGTTCTTTTAATAAAATCGTCATCGATGCGATCATATTATTTAGTTCTGCTAGTTTTTTCAACGCTGAATTCCTAGCTGTAACGACCTCATCCTGGAAATCAGATTGATATTATTTTAAATCGTATGAAAAAAAAATATAATTAATTAATGTGCGTATAACTTGAATGTTCGGGTTGCCTAATTAAATATAGAAAACAAAATTTTTAACCGTTGACTAGAGCTTGAACTAAACGAAATAACAACTATGATAATATTTGCCCATACGCTTCACTTCTTGGCTTTTTTTTATTTTTTCTATGGACGTTCTCAAATCTTGGGATTTGATTAAGATTTATTCTCTATTAAAAATAAATCTTACCCTCAGAGTAAGATTACAAATCAAATTTTAAATTTGTAGTATTTTTTTATTAGTGTCATGTGCAACCAATGAAATGCTTGTGCACGTTATCACGGGGGTGCACTTAGAAAGGGTTGACTGAGCATAGTGGAAATTTGAATGTTACATTAATTTTTTATATTGTGGCAACTTAACTTTACAATACACGGCAATAAAAAGTAAGTGATAAACTGGAATTGGATCTGAACCTGATCTCTAATTTAGAGAGGTAACAACTATATACTGGTGAGCAAGGGCTCCGTATAACATTTCGTGTAACAACAAACCTCCACTATGCTGGTAGCATAAAGAGATGGTGGTGGTGGTGATACGGTTAATGATCTACATATAATATCAGGCAGGTCTTTCGCTCATTTTCCTCCTCTAACTAATTAAATAATAAATAATTATGACTGAAGGAAATAATGTAATGAGCTTTCAAGAAATTTATTCAATGCCATTTGATATAGATAAATGGGATTATGGTCAATTCAATAATCCAAATAAATTCCAATGGATAATTGGCAACACGCCATTTTCAAACTGGCAGGTATATTTAATATAAATCAGGGTTACTTTATGGATTTTTTTTTTAAAATCAAAATGATCAATTAATTTATTAATGTTAATTTTCTTTAGTTTGTAGTTGGATCATGGGGAGTTTATTTTTCAACTATAATTGGTTTAAAGATGAATTTAAAATTAACAAAATATCATTATAATCACAATCACAATCACAATCATGATTATAATCATAATCATATGTATCATTATGATAATGAAGACTTTGATGTCATCATCATCTCCATTCTCTTTACCTAATATAACAGCATTACATAATTTAGTTTTATGTTTCTTATCTGCTTTTATGTTTGTTGGTGCTGCTTTTGATTTTATTAACAGATAGAAGGTGTGATTTATTCATGGTTTTATTTTTCTAAATTAAAACTTTCAATAATGAAATTTTATTTTTTGACATTTTTTTGATATTTGATTTAGGAATATGGAATTTCAGAATGTTTTTGTACTTCAAATGATAATCTATTAAAAGGAAGACTGTTATACATAACTTATATTTACTATTTATCAAAATATCTTGAATTAATGGATACAGTTATTCTAGTACTAAAAAAAGTAATAATAATTTTAGTAATCTTAATATTAGGATGTTTTTATTTTTTAAAAAAAGGAATTCTTCTAAAAAATTTTATTATTATTAGAAAAAAATAATTTTTTTACATTGGTATCACCATTCAATTGTTATATTAATGGTATAGTCTTGGTTACAAGATGCTAATATGTATGCAGGGTAGGAAGGCAGGCAATTTACCCACAAACTCATTCTTATGAAGTGGGTATAATATTATTAATTTTTGTAAAAAAAAAAAAATTCAATAGCATTGGAATGATTGCAAATACTTTAATACATGTTTTCATGTATTATTATTATTTTTTGGTAAATCTGTTTGGTTCAAGGTAAATTATTTTTTTAATAATTATTCCAAATACTTTATTAAAAATTATTATTTTATATATATATAGAAATATTTAACAACGGGTCAAATAATTCAATTCACCATTTCATTTATTCTATCAATTCCATATCTTTACTTTCATTTCACCAATAATTGTAATATGGTTTTACTGCTTTTCTATTCTCAATGTTTTGTAATGGAAGTTTTCTGCTTTTGTTTATTAGATTTTATTCAAAAACTTATAATAATAATAATAATAATAATAATAATAATCGTAACAATAAATAATAATAAACAAGATATTATAGGGAGATTGATAATAGTAGATTGATGAATGATATTGGTTGAGTTATTAATAATTGCTTTGGTTTGTTATAATTATGTAGCTAAATATATACATGTTTATATTATTCAGTAGTGATTATAATAATGTTTTTGATTTTTTTCTCCTATTATTTAAAACGATGAAATAAAAACTCAATCTAATATATTATAAAGCAATAAAGAAAATAAGGATACAATAACACTAAATATTTATTTTCCAATTCCTGGATTAATCAAGTCGAATTTTAAATCTCTCAATATTCAAGTTATGATTGATTATTTATTTTCAATAGATAGCCTAATTGTTCATTATCATTTTAAAGATAATTCATAATGTATTCTTAAACAGGATTTATATATTGTTCATGTAGTTGTTGTTGTTTGTGTGTTTGTGTTGTTGAATGGCGCAGCCGTAATACCAGTCATTGTCATATGATCAGATTCTTGTTTCACCATCATCCAATTTATCATAATTAAGTAAATTTTGTAAAGGATCATAAAATTTTATCATCATCATCAACTGTATTTGCAAGTCCAATTTCATCAAATAAATCATCGTCATCATCAATTGCTGATTTTTCAAGCAACAATTGATCTGACTGTTGCAATGTTGGTGATAATTGTTGTTCTTGCGATTTTTTTTTTGCAGTGATTGCAGTCATTGTTGTTCTTTGATTATGTTGATATGATTAATGATATCTTGTATAGAACTTGGAATATTGTTTTCATACCAAATATCATCACCATTGTTGCCAGTATTAATTGATTTTGAGCTTGGTTATACAAGTCATCATGTTCTAAATCAACTAGTTGATGATGATGTGGTGGTAATTGGTTTAATGTTAATGGTGGTGATGATGTTGGTAATTGATATGGTGGTGGTGATTGGTGATGATGTGACTTGCTGTTATCAATATTTATATCATTAATGTATGCTTATCTTAATATTAGAAACAGTTATTGCCACATATATATATAGTATTTATGAATTTTATTGGTTAAATGACCTAATGACCATGGTCATTGCTTATGATCTGAAGTCATTCAAATCATGTCATCGGTATCATAAAATCTATGACCATAGGATATGTCATTAAGAAAATACGAAATGGCCTGTTCATTGCTCATCACTACCATCAATGGGGCACGGAAAATAGAAACCGCCCTAATACTAATAGCAAAATCTCGATTTTGGGTTGGTAATACATTTATATGCAATTCTTCACAAGAGTTAATTCAGCTTAGAAACTTATACCTACTTTGCTTGGTAATTAGTGATGTGCCGCGCAGTGTGTTATGCATAAAAAAAATTTTTATGTGCTTATTATTATGTGCGCATTTATAATATCCCTTCCCTATGATATATACACACTATGACACTACGCGTACTATGCGCAAAAAAAATCAGGGTTACTATGAATGGCACATCTCTCTATTCGAGATATTTAAAGAAAAATGCACTGATTAAAAATACGTATGATTTTATCGCACAAATGTCTGATTGTGGAACGTTGTATTGTTGATAATGCAAAGTGAATAGTGAATGCCAATACAATGAAATTTGATGCAGTTTTTTGATTATTATCATATCTTTGAAATTATTCATCAGAAACTCTCTAGTGACTTTACAAATGGTTTTAAATTTTTATTTAGTATCAGTGTTATTGGATGGATCATTAGAAAGCAATGTATAATAATTATCATATTATACTTCAATTTCAGCCAAGAATATGTTCTTTAATAAATGTTCTAATGGTATAATTGGTATGATTTCGAAAAATTCTTATTCTTGGCAAAAATCTGTGGTCTATCTGAGTAACTATTAATTAATTAATTAGAAATTTGAAAAAGACCAAGAGTTGCAACTATTTATTACCTTCCATCAGTAGGGAGATGATGATGCTTCAGAAAAACACTTCTCAGAACATTTTGTTATTAGGGAAGATGATCATCCATTTTTTGCCACAGGCGCTTGTAGGTACAGTGTGTTGCGGAAAAAACAGCGATGACGAAAAATAGCATATTTCAACAATTACAAAGATAACCATATTTATTTTAAAAACCCATCGAATAATTTGTTAATTAAAAAAGTTTGACATGAATTATTATTTCCAATTTGATTCACATCTTTTTTTTTTTAAAAAAAATTTCGCTAAATTTTTTAACTTCTATCAAAAAAATATCAGATACCCAAAATATTAGATACCCAAAAAAGTATTGATTAAACAAAAATGCACTTGATTCTAAATTAAAAATAATTTTTATTGGCTGACGGAACAGAATTGTTTCTCCGTGTTTCCACTTCCAAATTTGGAAACCGTTTCTTTAAAAATTTCCAAAAGAAAAAAAAATGAAACAAGAATAACTGCACCTCAAACAACAACAACAACAACAACAACAACAACAACGACGACGACGACGACGACGACGACAACAACAAAGTGTTCATCTATTTTAAAAAGTAGCTTCTACTAATAATGACAATGGAAAAGTATTTATCCAGCTCAAAGGACATCTTCTTCTAACAATAATGACAAACAACAACAACAGCAAAGTATTTACTCAGTTCAAAGCATAGCTTATTCTACTAATAATGACGAACAATAACAACAAAGTACTTATCCAACTCAAAGGGCAACTTCTACTAATTTCGAAATACACAGTGAATCTCGATTTAACGGATAGTTTGGGCAATTAGGAAAATTTTCCAAAAATCCGTTAAACCGAGATATCCGCTATATCGAGAAGGTTTTTATTAAGGTTTATTATGAAACCGTTCTTTGAACTTTATCCGTAAAACCGAGTTTTTAATTAGTATCCGCTGAATCGAGATCCGCTAAATCGAGATTCACTGTGTACATCTTCTTCAAAAATTTTCATCTAATTTATCTAAACCAGTCACTTCTTGAAATAGATTTAGAGACAAGGCTTCTTCAATTCTTTCACATCTTTAAAAAACGCGTAAATTTTCTGCCCAAAGTTTGATCCTGATTTTCATTACCTAGTAAGTATTGTTTGTACAGGAAACAGGAGCAGTTTGAATACTCCTAATATGTTTCAAAATTTTTATTATATACTTTTTTAGTTAGAACGCAAGCGCCATTTTTTTCGCTCTGTATATTAAAACCAGGGATATAAATATTATTGCGGGTCTGTACGTACGTGCACGTAAGTGACAAAGAGAAAATTGTGTCACAAAATAATAATGCCGCCTCCTGTAGAAAATTTTTAGGTGTTTGGATATGAAATTCTAATTGGGCTAATTCGATGAATATTAATATGAATTGCAGGCAAATGCATTCCGTACGTTTCCGTATTTTGGATTTTTAAGTAATGGTAATCATATTATAATATAGGTATAGTAATCGGTTTAGATTATCATCATCCTTCTTAGTTGTTCAGGTTTTATCTGGCCTAATTCAATTTCTAATTCTTTAACATGATTTTGTAATTCCTGAATAATTTTTTGTTTTCTTTATTCTCGTTTAAATATTCTAGTTGTTGTTGTTTTTCATTCATTCAAATAAAGACGGAACCCAATTCAATTTTTATATGCTTATAACACTTATGGTTTATGACTCCCTAGCTTCGGTTAAACTAAAATTGACTGAACCCTATCATTTTGAAAATTACAAAATAAATAAATAAATAAAACTAAAAATCAGTTTGAATCTTTTTTTCGGTTGATCCTTTGTTTTTTATTAAAACGCAATTTCCTATTGTTTTATTTTTGGTATATCTGCCAACATTATTTCTTTTTTTCCCGCATTACTTGACAAAAATAGATTCTGAGAAATGTATTTCCAAACTTTGATTTCACAAAGAATCTGGCCTAACTTAAATATCTTATTTGCATATATATATGTTATTATCGGTCATTATTGGCTGTTTCAGGTATCGTTTTTTTTTTATGGATTCACTATTGGACCAATTCGAATATATATGAGATATACCAAAAAAAAATGAATTAAATCAAAAATCAAAATTTTATTTTTATATCTTTTACTAAATTTGGTGTAATTTGTTTGAAGTGGGTCATCCCATATGCCAAAATTGGTAGCTTGTAATAACCTTCACTGTTTTTAAAATTAGAATAATTTGTATTACTTGAACTTTGAAAGAAAAACTTGTTTATACAAGAAGTGACCACTTTGGCTTGGATTTTCTTCATAATCATTTATTTTTCTCCTCCAATATGACATTCATAATTATTGTTTATGGTTTGTTTCTAAACCTGATCGCCACTCGAAGAGGACCAATCACCAACACTCTAAATTTAGACTATAACTAAATTAAATTTGTTTAGCTTATTTTTCATTCTACAGAATATATGTTTTACTGCAAATTTTTAATTTGCCTCCTAAATATTATTATTAAATTTAAAAAAATAAAATTGTAGATTAGAATTGGAATTAGGATGAAGCATTTATTTATAGTTCATACATAATTTCCTTAATAGATTCTTGATAAGCAGCAATGCACAGCCATTGATTGACATATGACCAGTAATTTTTCATAATCTTTTCATTGTGCGATGGGTGTTGTTATACATCTCACCGAATGTAACGATCTAAATACCTTTATTTATTATTGTTCAAGACCAACAAAGAAGCAAAGATTCCTTGAGGTCTTTTAGATATACAATTGATAATATCTATAACAGGAGATAGTTTTTTGTTGTCGGGTGGAATGTCAATAACCCGATCGGAATTATTTATATCTTGAAGCCACCAACATTTTCACGAAGACACTCTATTAAAAGTTGCTAATTCTGCCTTTACAGATTACCAGCATCTCCACCACACAAGAAACATAACCAGAAATAAGTTTCTGTGAGCGCAAGATAAATCAGAATATTGCAGTAAAGGCCATTGTCGAGTACATACGGCGATCATATTAGTTATTTTTCAGAAATTTGAACCAGAACATTGTGTTATGAATAGTATTTTTAACTTCAGGATAATCAACTAATTGTAAGTACGTGTGTGTTATTACCTGAATGCCGATAAAAATAGAATATAGAAACACATGAAATATATATCATAGAATCCTAATATTTTCCTATAAGTCGCAAAAAAATTAATAAAAATTCTTTTATTTGGTTAAAAAAAAAAAACAGGGTTATATATATATATATATATATATATATATATATATATATATATGCAATACGAAGAAAAAAAGAGTTTGCTCGAACAGATTGTGGAACATTAACTACCTTAATAATAAAATCCAATATAATAAAGAACCTTCTGCGGTTGAGATCGCAAAAATTTTATCAAAAACATACGTTGATTTGGGAATCGGCACTTTTGAAGTATCAAGAATTTTATAGTGAATATAAATATAATTTATAAATTTATATTACACTCTCGTCCTCATGCTATTGCTTTTTAATGTGTCAATTCTATTTGAAGTGATTCTGTTTAAAGTTCGCCTAATCCGAACACATTATATTAGACAGCGTATAATATAAAACTTTGTACTCGAATAATTAATTATAATAAACATACCCATCAAATAATAATAAAAATATGATTGATGTTCTAATCGATAGACATAATGACACGGTATTTTGTAGTAGTGGTGGTAGGAGCAAGCATAGAAAAAGAGCAAATACAAAGAAATTAAAATTTTAAAATATAGTTGCAAAATACGTAGATTTATTAAACTTGGAACATTAAAAGGCTTTTTCGGAAATCGGAATTATTTACGTTAAATTTAGATCAAAGTTTATATTCAAAGTTAATCGAGAATAATTAATTATCCTTGATATCATATATAAAAAATAGATAAAATTACATAAGTCAGATATTAATACTAAATTAAACCCTTTAACTTTTTTATTCACCCCGGTTTATTTTACCCAGAACCAGAAATGTTTAATTAATGTTGCTAAAATTAGTGTGTGTTATTTTATTTATCTTGTATCATAATAATAATAACCATTTTAATTCCAATTGTTGTTTATATAAACATTATTAGTGTGACTAAACAATATAAAACTTCATACTGTTACAGATGCACATATCTATTTTAGATTACACGAATGATCGTCTTTGGTTTATTTTTACCAAAAACTTTCCTATTTACTTACTACTTTACCTATTGATGTTATTATAAAAAACGAAAAACGCCATTAAAAATTTTTAAGAAGTGAAGTTATGTTATAATGAATGGATGAATGGGTGCTGGAAAGGTGCGAGATGAATGGTGGAAAAAATAAAAAGTTGTTGTTTCAAAAATGTAGTGTTACTCCAACTACCATAATTATTAATCGCATCTAATAATAATCAAATAATAATATATTTTGATTGATCTATTCCTCTTTGAAATAATTAATTAAAAAATAATTGTTTACTTGATTGCATTAGGCAAAATTGGTTTTTTTTATTTATAAATGCAACGAACAATTTTAAATCTCGTTCTTTTTTATAAAAGGTAAATTAAAAAAATATATATATATATATAATAAAAATAGTTTCTATTCGTCACAAAAATTTATTTATTATTAAATTTTTTAAGGTATTACACGTGTGTGCATTATTAGATGTAGTTCTTTTTATATTTTCAATATTTTTTTTTGATTTTTTGAATTGGGTTTTTTTTATTCATTATTCATGTAATGTTTTTATAATAGTTTTTTTTATACTATTGTAATATGTACACTCAATTTTTCCTTATTTAAAACCTTATTTTTTTTAATAAATATTTATTTTAAATAATAGGGAGAACAAGATCTTGGCTTTCTCTATTCAATTTTGAAAATTTTTGGAGCTTGTCATCATCATCATCATCATCATAATAATAATACGATAACTATATTAGAGCGAAGCTTTAAATTATTTATTTTCCAGTTTATGAAATCTTTTTAGAAAAAAAAAAATTTTTTTGTAGCACTAATGTCTAATAATAATACAAAGGATACCAAGAACATCGATATTAACAATAAGAATGATAATAATAGCAGAAAGAGAAGCAACAATATTTCTCAAATTTCAAGTAACGATCCTCAGAATAGTGAAAACGATTCATTGTCATCGTTGGTTTTAAAAGAAGTTCGCAATCTCGGACATTTTACTCCAAATGATTTCTATGGCTCTGGTGGTCGTGCAAGAACATCAGATGATAATAATAATAATAACAACAGTAACAACATCAACGATACTAATAACGATATAAACTCTTCTAATCAATTACAAAAATCAATAATATGGAATCATAATCAGGAAGAACAAAATCGTCAACAACGTTTACAATATCAAAAATCTCAAAATTCTTTACCCAACAGCAATAATAATAATGATAATGGTTCAACATCGCCGTCTTCAACTACATTATTAACGCCAAAGTCTTCATCCTCTTCATCCATTACAAACGTTAATGTCGATGAGGAAGAAGATCATGACGTTTCGGATTTTTGGCAAGATGTTTATCGGCCTTCCAGTGGAAATCGTATGGATATTCTCGAGCTTAGTAGACAAAGATTATCTGTTGTCGATTCAATTATATCAGTCTCAGGTATATATATTCCAGTTGATTTGTTTTCCATATAGTATATAATATTATATAATATTTAAAAATTATATATATTTAGATCGGCCAAAGTCTACATATGATGACGATCAACAGCCCAATCAAATATCTGATGGTGATGATAATGATAATAATAATATATCTAATGAAAAAGAAAATGGAAAAAAAAATGAAAATAAAAATGAAAAAGAAAAAGAAAAACTTGTAGAAACTTATTTAGAGTCAACTTCAAATATTGCCAATAAAAAAATTTATAGGCCTCGTCCTAACGAAGACTATTATTCCGTTAGCAAAGACAACAAACAAGAGTATGATAATAAATTATCTCCAACTTTTGAAGAAAGTTTGCATAAACGTTCAAGATCTCTTGTGAAACCAGAACGTGCTCGTTACTATAACAATCGTCGTATAAGTAGGGCTTTTGAACCAAAAGATGCTGAAAATATAACTATAGGTCGAATCAAATCAGTCAATAGTACTAATAACTATAATAACAATGATAATAGAAATAGAAAATATAGCGGTGGTGCTAATAATCCTGTCAATATTAATGCACATAGAATTGTTTCTGGCTATAGTGGTGGTTATGAGAGTGAAAAACGTGGGCCACGCTCGATTACTGATAGTAGATTAGGTTCTATAAAAAATCCCAAAGGTTTGAAAAAATGGCGTAGAGGTGAATGTCCGTCTGCATGGGCAATATTCTCAAGATGCGCAACCTTCTATGCTCCTTCATCTTTACTTTCATTTTTTGGTAGGTTCACATACTAATTAATTATATTTAACTGTTGACCGTTAATAAATGTTCTTATTCATTGTTAATTGTTATATCTTCTTTCAAACGATAATTTAGGCATGCGAGATGAAATGGTTCGACAAGCATGGCGTGAAAAAATAGCACTTGTAACGATAATAATAATTTTATGTTCTGTGGTCGGTTTCATAACTTTTGGCCTTGGCCAAATATTTTGTGGCGCGGAACCGCAAAGATTGGGCGTTGATTCTCTTGAGTCAGGCCATGGTATCATTCTAGGAAGATTATTTGATATTTCGGAATTTTCCCATCCTGCTGTTGATGGGCTGTTTACTTCTTATCCCGGAAATCTATTAGGTGTTAATGGCAATGATCTAACATTTTTGTTTCAAGCTATAAATAGCGAGTGTAAAAATGTTTTGATTCCAAAAGTACCTGATGATGATTTTGGAAATGTCTTCAATTATTTTCCTTGCGTTGCAATTAATGGTGACTCTACCCCGGATCCTTCCATCGTTAACATGAAGAACTGTCACAATAATGCTTCATCTAGAACCTTATTGAGTAGTCTTAATTATGTCGGTGACGTCTTTTTTGATTGGACTGATGTAGAAGCACCCGAACACAATTATGTGGTTAGTAATGGTCAAGTTCTTGATTTGGACAAATTAAAATGGTTGGTGCCAAATATAATAGTTCCGCCTGAACTTCAACAACTGATTGAAACTAAACACAATGCTCGCGGTCGTGACGTTACCTATTCCTTACAACAAAATCAAAAAACAATTAAATTATCAAAATGTCTGCAACAAATCATTCGTGTGGGTGTGGTTGATTTCAGTTCGATAGGCTGTGTGATTACTAAAACGATAACATATGTTGCATTGGTTGTGATTATTGGTGTGGTCCTAGTGAGATTTGCTATGGCAGTTTTGTTTGGATGGATCGTTAGTTGGAAACTTGGTAGTTTTCGTGAAGAGTCTGCTGAAGATATTGCAATGAGAGAAAAAGATATTGAACATTGGATTAATGATAATACTATTGATCCATCTATGTAAATATTATAAATAAGTTGATTATTAATTAATTGATTAATTTTTTTTTTATAAAATATAATTAAAATTAAATTTTTATTTATTTATTATAACAGTAATAGTTCTAAGCATAGTTCAGTGGGGTCTCTTAATCATATAAAACAATTGAATCAGAAATCGTCATCGAAAACACCATATAACAGTAATAATAAAAGCAAACAAAAATCAAGTTTTGGTATTAAAAAAAAAAAAAACTTTAATCATTTTTAAATCAGCTATTATTGTTAAAGTAATTTTATAATATTAATAATAATTATTATAATTTTTACAGGAGTTGCATCGAATAATTTTTCATCATCAGTTGATAGTGATAGTAACCCGGATCAACAACGTAATTCTATATCGTCGATATCATCATCCGCCGGTCAATCATCAGTTCCCAACGTCATCACACAAGAACCAGAGCAACGATATAATTTTCCTTTAATGCACACAATCTTGTTGGTCACATGTTACTCCGAGGGTCCAATTGGTCTAAGGACAACTTTGAACTCATTGGCCAATACCGATTATCCAAATTCACATAAATTGCTTATGGTGATTGCCGATGGGATAATTTTTGGTTCAGGGAATGAGAGATCAACTCCGGACATAGTTTTATCATTAATGTCGGACTTTGTTGTCGATCCGAATGATGTCGTAGCACATTCTTATGTCGCAATTGCAGATGGTAAAAAAAGACATAATATGGCCAAAGTTTATGCTGGTTATTATAAATATCGAGATGGAAAAAATCCATCAAAATCTCGACGCATTCCAATGGTGACAATAGTTAAATGTGGTGGTCCTGATGAACATGACGACAAAAAACCTGGGAATCGTGGAAAACGTGACACGCAAATTATTTTAATGAGTTTCTTACAAAAAGTTATGTTTGATGAAAGAATGACACCGTTAGAATATGAATTTTTTAATGCTATTTGGACTGTTAGCGGTGTTACTCCTGATTTCTTTGAAACTGTTCTTATGGTAAAATTTTTTTGAGAATTATAATGGATTCGTTATGTTGTCGTTATCTTTTTAAATATTAAATTAGTCTCTTTAATTTTGTTTAGGTTGATGCAGACACCAAGATATATCCAGATTCACTAACACGTATGATATCCTGTTTTTCACGTGACTCATCGATAATGGGTCTCTGTGGCGAAACAAAAATAGCAAATAAAACCGATACATGGATTACTAGAATTCAAGTCTTCGAATATTACATTTCGCATCATTTGCAAAAAGCTTTTGAATCGATTTTTGGTGGCGTGACATGTTTACCAGGTTGTTTTTGTATGTATAGAATCAAAGCACCAAAAGGAATTGATGGATACTGGGTTCCGATACTTGCCAACCCTGATATAGTGGAACAATACTCGGAGAATGTAGTGAACACGCTTCACAAAAAGAATTTATTGCTACTTGGTGAAGATAGATTTTTGACAACATTGATGCTTAGAACATTTCCGAAACGAAAATTGATATTTGTTCCACAGGCTATATGTAAAACAATTGTCCCCGACTCATTCATTGTGCTCAGGTCTCAACGTCGTCGATGGATCAATTCCACTGTGCATAATCTACTAGAACTAGTGCTTATTCCTGATTTGTGTGGAACGTTTTGTTTTTCAATGCAATTTGTCATTTTCATGGAGTTGATAGGCACTGTGGTACTTCCAGCTGCAATCACATTCACCGTCTACCTAGTGATCATCTCGATGGTTCAGGGCCCAGTCCAAGTTATCCCATTGATGTTGTTGGCAGCAGTTTTAGGATTGCCAGCATTACTTATTCTACTTACATCACGTAAAATTGTGTATGTTGGATGGATGGCTATTTATTTGTTATCATTGCCAATATGGAATTTCATATTGCCACTGTATGCATTTTGGCATTTTGATGACTTCTCATGGGGCCAGACACGTATTGTAGAGGGCGAGGAAAGCGGTATAGATCATTCGAGAAAAGACGGTGTGTTTGACAGTACAAAGATTGTGATGAAGAAATGGTCGGAATGGGAGCGTGAGAAACGGATCAGGGCTCGTAATTTACAGAAAAAGCAAATACAAAAACAATTGCAGTCACAACATCATCATTCGACAATGCCAATTCTAAAGAATAACCACAGTGAAAGTTCTTCTTTTACAATGTATTCACCAGCACAGTCGTTTCAAGTGTTGCCACAAAAGCAATTATCTCTACAATCCTTAGAATCATCGTATTCTTTACCAAATCATTTATCACAACAACATTCTTCTATGTTACAATCACAAGTTCAACAAATAGCACCATCACCACCGCCACTACCACCAAAACAAGCACCATTACCGTCAACATCACCGTCATCACAACAACGAAGAAATTCACCACTTCCACGTACTAATTTTAAAACATTACCAACTAAATCTAATTCTATGGATTTGCCGGACTCAACGTTAAGACCTTCGAAATCTATAAAAAATAGGTCTTTTACTGCAGACACCTATTATCAAAGCGAACATCATAATCCAAGACATTATCAAAGTTATGGCACTAATCCTAATCCTAATAACACTAACACTAATACTAACAATACTAACAATACTACTAATACTAATAATGGTAGTAGTAAATCATAAAATACATTTTTTTATATAACATTGATCAAAAAACTTTTTTTTTTAATTAATTTAAAAATAGTTTATAATTAATTAATGTACAGTAATAATAATGATAATAATAGAGAGGTAATTTGCATTAATTTTAGAATTTTAAATTTATTCAGAAATTGTTTTTTTAAAAATTATAGATATATATAATCAATCATCATCATACCTTTTGGGGGTTATGTAGTGTGTTGTAGTGTTAATTAAAAAATTTGTATTTTTATGTATTTTATTATCTCTTTGGCTGGCATCAACATGCACATATAAAAATGTCATTAACTTTTAAGATGTGACTGTTTATTTACATATTTGTTTTACATTAATTATTATTATTATTACGCGTATGAGTTGTTTTTTTTTGTTGACGTGATTGATTTTTTTTGGAAAAACAATTTGTTTTTTACAAGACGAGGGAACGTGAATATTGTTGCTTGGTATGTTTCTTTTAAAGACAATATGTTGCTGTTTATTACATATTAATAGCGAAAGATACATAATTTTTTATCTGTATTGATATAATTACCTTTTATAATATATATATATATATATATTGTTGAAATCAAAACATGGAGAGGACTTGTTGTGTCTTGGGTATTTATAAGATTTTTTATCAATATAATAAATCAATCATTGGTATTTTTTTGCTTTTCGTATATATAATCATTAGTACTAACATAAATTAAGATGTCAAGATGATCTGATAACTGTTGCAGAAGAAATATTTCGATATACAACATTTGATTTATCAGAAAATTTACAGATATCAAGGCACACATGCTACCTTGAACGCTTTACAGTCATTCTTACATGTTCCTCATGTCCACAAGGTTAATCTTACCTGCATTCCCCGATGATACAATGATGCAACTGAACTCCAAGGGGGGACCGTATGTCCATGAAGTTTATCAAGATTGCATTGTTGTCAAGGATGTTTTAGAAACCTTACCTGATCTTCTTCTCTCACAGGGCCTGAGCTGGCATTAACTGAATATGCATACTAGCTGAAGAGTTGCTTGCAATGATCCTACTTCTAGGATAAAGGTGGATGATTCTCTGACCAAGAAGTTGCAACCCGGGTTGAAGGATTGTGATGTTAAGAGTTCCATATAAACACCCAGGTCGATTGAAGCAACGAGAACTTACAATTCGTTTCAAATTCAGACAGGGATTTGCAATTCAAGGCGTGTTAGTACTTATATAAATTAATTAAATTCTCTGCTTCTTTGGTATTAACCAAATTTGTAATTTTGGGTAAAGGACTAGGCTTTTGTCCAAATAATCCCTTGTCCTATACATTAAAATTGTTATGTATATAATCATTGGCCAAATATTAACATTGATCTCTGGAATAAAAGTGGAATTTTTGCACTTAATAATCCTTTCAAAAAGGAACAATAAGTGGTTAAAAAACGGTTTAGATTTTGGTATGTTTGTACAAGTTAATCAATTTACTGAATGGGTGAAGGAACTGGACTTTTTTTTAATTGTTTTTGCCTCAAGTAAGTGCACCCTGGCAAAACCAAGCATTGGTTGCAACCTTCAAAGTTGCAGACACCAACTTATCATAATACAAATGCCAACTCTCATTAGTGATCAGTGTTCATATGGTAACAGCAAAGTCTATTCTGAGAGGAAGATAAAGAAAGTTTTTTACTCACCTTGTAAAATTTTTTCTTACATGTTTAATTGCCCCACCTGTGGAAAAAATTCTACAGTTACAGATGTTCTTGCTATACATGAAGTCGAAACTATTTCGACAATTTGCAGATCTGGTCAAAATGGGGTCGAAATAAGGTCGAAACTAATTTTTACTATGTAGTTGCCTCAAGTTGAAACATTTCGACTTCATGTATAGTTCTTGCGATGATTAAAACTTTAAATTAAGGTAAAAAAGGTAAAAAAGGTAAAACTGTATATAAAGTCCTAGTTGAAGACGCACCAAAAACACAAAGAGCTAGAAAAAATTTACAAATAAACATCAATCAGGATTAGGTGCATCTATATTAGAGATTGGAAAAATATTTTTTTTAAAAATAAAAAAAATACTAATAATAAAGTTATACTATTTAATAACATTTCAGCCCTAATGCTGAGAGATTGATTTATCATTTAACATTATTTTATTTAGGCCACTTTTCTTAGTTGTAAATACCATCCCATCTGCTCTCCATTTTAGAGCACTAATTATTTTTGTTCAATTGAGTTATATTTTACATTTGAATTATTGTTTGTGTTATTGATTGATTTGATTTTAGGTTTACCCTTTGAAACAATAGGGTGATTGTTAATGATATTGTATTTTTGTATTATATTATTATTTTGGATTTCCTACATACTTGAGATGTAGAAGAATTGGTCAATTATTAGGATACCTGTCTAAGCTAATAATAGCAAAGATAGAAAAAATCAGGATGGTTTATTAATAAATTTACATTTAAACATGTCACCCACACACATTGAATTTCATATCTGGTGACTATACAGATGGTAATTAATTACCATTTTCCGTAATTACAAAATTAATTATGCATTATGAAATTAATTTATGGATAGCAACGGATTAATTATGGGCAATAAATATCATATAGTATTATATCACAACACAGAATAAATGCTATCTGAGCTCAAGAAACTAAAAATTTTCTACCCCAGTCATACTTGTGTCCTCTGTGTCATAGCAGTAAACTCCTTTTAAAATAGTTTTAACAAAAAAAATTGAGTCATGAAAGAAATTATGGTTGGAGTAAAACATTAGTATTGGATTCAGAAATCTCAGAGAAAAATAAAATAGACAGTAAGTTTGTATTAGATTTTTTTGCCCAGAGCTTTTTGTCTTTTGTTGGATAATAGCATACTTTCATTCTGCTTTCTTTTTCTAATATTTATTATTTTTCTTTCTTCTTGGTAAATTTCATAGATAACTCTTTCTTTTCTTTGATTGAGGATGTTGTTGTTGTGTCTTTTGCTTTTGTTGTTGTGGTTGCGGTTGTTTCTTTTGTTGATGTTCTTGTAATTTTTGTGGTTTTTGTTTTTGTGGATGTCGAGATTCGATATGTTTTTGTACTTTGGGTGATTTTTGTTTTATGGTTTTTTGTGGATGATGAGACTCGATATGATTTTGTACTTTGGGTGTTTTTTGTTTTATAGTTTTTTGTGGATGATGAGACTCAATAGGTTTTTTTTGCACTTTTAACGGTTTTTGTTTTATGTGATTCTTTGGTTGAGGTTTAACGGGGTGGTGTTGTCCATTTAGTGGTTTTGATGGTCTTTTTTTAGATTTTTCTGATGATGGTGGTTTTTGATGTTGAGTATGATTGGTAGTAATAATATTAACGTTAAATTTTGAAATATCTGTTTGCAGTGGTCGTCGTACTTTCTTTCCAGGTTGTAAGGTTTTGTTACTTGCGTCAGTCTAATATTAGTAGAAAAGAATTTTGTGAAAATCTTAGAATAAACTTTTCAACATAAAGTGATGAAATAATTTTAATGAATTATATAATACACACCTCTTCTTTCCTCCCTGGCGGTAAGGTTGGTGACATAATTTATGAACGAAATAATAAGTAGAATAATAGAATGGTAGATAAAGCGGATGTGCTATGTTTCTAGAAATAGTTAATGATATTTTAGAAGTAATATATATTTTTTTTTTTGAAAAAATATTTTTTGTTGGATCTGAAAAATACAAAAGTTAACCGTTTAATACGTATATTTTTATACGTGCTCGACCAAGTCACGTATATTCTTGGCATGCA